CTTCAAATACCAATTCCACTGACCCGAGACAAGTTGTATCCCAATTGTCCCATGGGCTTCTCCTGCACAGCATCTATACAATTATAATATTAATTATTAAGTTCCTATCTGAATTAACTTGCTAGGCATCTGAGGGGAGAGAGACTGTGTCTTAACTTGTTCACTATTTTGTTCACCACTTGGCACATATTTGTGAAATGAACAAATACTACTTGCAACCAAAAGAAATGAACTCAGTTGATACAGTGAATTAATGAATAACTAAGTGAATGAAAAAGTGAATCCATGATTGAACACTGATTGTATGTTTGTGTTTCAAATGTATCTGAAATGTTTTTTAAATTCAGTTCCAATTAGATTTCATGACAGTGATGAGTCAAGTAATTTGGTAATTGCACCTTTCTGCTGGACCCTGCAGTTTTAAGTAGTCACAGGTCTTGTGAATCATTTGGCAAATCTGCAAAAAGAATGCTATCTATATGTGTATGCATATGTACATACACACACACACATATATATATATTTATTTATTCCCCACAGAAACATATACATACATATATATATTCCACACATACCACTGGTCTCATGTTTGGTTCAACATAAGACTTGATGGTCACATATAAAACCTCATAGGTCAGAGTCCTGTCCACACCCACACCCCCGTCCAACCCCAAAGACTCATGTACTTCATATGCAACAGAGTTCATAGATGAGACCCCTGTTTGTATTTTACTTTTGGAGTTCAAAGTGTTCAAAGTCATGAACAAATGCAGGTCCTACAATTGAGGAGGCATCACACCCCTGACAGAGGACCACGTTTTTATTCAGGCTATACCACTTGTCTGAGCACCACTTTCCAAACCTTTGCCAGGTCTGGGAGGTCTGGGGGGAGAGATTTCTAAGGACCAATAACTGATATGCACATCTCTTAACGATAAAATACATCATTCCTAGGTTATCTTTTCCAAGGTTTCTGTGAACTAGTTAAAATATTACGACAGTCTTTATTAGAAAATCCCAAATGTTTTATCTTTAAAAAATCAGCAATTCAAGTGTTAAATAGCAGCAGGGAATGGCCAATTTTACTTCAGTATTTACATTGTGGTCAGTTTCTACTCCTACCAAATGGCTTGAATTTTCTTCCGAGAAGCTCCAAACGTTGTTCCATCTTTATCTTCTGTCCTTTTTGATTGGTGTCTGGCCACCACAATAATCCTCAGGCCTTTGGACTATTTTCTTGAACTGACCTCCTAAATCGCAGGTCTGGGTTTGACACAGGAAAGAGAAGTTAGCACAGACACACCCTGCCCCAGCTCTCCAAGGGAAAGGCCAAATTGGCCTTCAAGAGAGCTCAGCTTCTCATGCCTTCCTTGCCTCCTCCTTTTAAGTTTCTTCAGTGCTGCCCCTTGAACTCCCATCATTGGATAGTCTCAGTAAATGCTATCCCCCAAAAGATGAGTTGATCGGTTTGTTTCCTCCCCAGCATTCATTCCGTCCCCTCTGGCATCAGCCACAGGTTTTCTTAGGGAAGCCACTCTCCCCCAGTCTCAGTCCCTGTGGTCTGTACGGTTGTTCCACCTGTATCTACAGATGAGGCCAGTGACTCAGATCTGGCCAGTTGACAGAAGAAGCTGAGGAAGCTGCCTTGCAATTATTAGGAAGCGCCTCCTTGAGAAAGGAGCTGACATGGAAAACAACTGAACAGAAAGAAACCACGTTCTTGTGACGTATTGTGAGCCCCGGCTGTTAAAGCAAGAATTACTCTTGGGCTTCTGCTAAAGCCACTTTGGGTAGGTTCTTGCAATTGAACGAGTAACTGATTCATGAGCAGCTCTGACCCTCTACCTTGAGGTTTGTCCTCTAGGTAAATTAGATCTTCTTTGGCACCAATTGGGTTACTCACCATGAGCAGCTTCATGTTCCCTGCTGTGCAAAGGGCCCGGCTCCTGAAAGAGAAGAAAAGAGGCAGCCTTATCACTGGAAAAGAGCCCCAGGTCCTGTTGCATAGTTGGGAAGGTATGTGCACCCCCCTCCCCCCAATTTTAAAACGGAGAGGTGACAGATTAAGGACAAGGCTCAACCATAGAAACATGAAACATGTTTTGTTGTGTTCTTTAGGGACTGTGATTCCATTCATTCTTTTTTCCCCATTCGTGTCACAGAGCATTTACAATATGCCAGATAACAGATTAGGACCTGGGGCTGCAAGGGCATGACCTGGTCCCTGCCTCCATAGGGTTTAGAGTTGAGCCTCTAGAACCCTAAATGGTGCTGATAGTATTAATCGCACAGATAGTAACTGACACAACAGTCCCTTCTGACAAAGTCATAACTTCCAGAACTAGTGGCATCTGAATAAGATGGGTTTACTGTTTATCTGTATCTTCCAGGACACCAGGGAAGCCAGCATGGGCTCTAGAATCAGGGTGCCAGGCATCTCGTACACCCTCCTGGTGAGAGTGAGACTAGTAAAATCTTAAGAGAGTGATATGGCAACATCTATTAACATTATTATGTGGCTGTCCTATGGCTGAAATACTTGCCTAAAATAATTATAATGAAAATGTTTCATTATGGACTGTTTTTGATCTTAAAAAACATGAAAACAATCCAAATGTCCAAATATGTACAGACTGAAACAATGTCTGAGATATTAAGGGGGGGGAGTTATGATACATGTGTATACTATAACCCCTCTTTTGTAAAAAAAAAAAATAAACAAAAATGTGAGATACATGTAGTATGTTTACAGCTGCCTAGGGGGAAGATCAGGAAGAATATGCACTGAAGCATTAATGTAGAGGGGTGAGATTTCAGGGCACTTCTCATCTCGGTGGGATATACTTTCGTATGACTCGCTTTATAGGAAAGATGGATGCAAACTGCATGAGGACAACACCTTTGCTGTGTTCACCACAATAGCCCAGCACTCGCTTTATAGGAAAGATGGATGCAAACTGCATGAGGGAAGCACCTTCGCTGTGTTCACCCCGATAACCCAGCACCTAGAGCAGTGATGGCGAACCTATGACACGTGTGTCAGAGGTGACACGCGAACTCATTTTTTTGGTTGATTTTTCTTTGTTAAATGGCATTTAAATATATAAAATAAATATCAAAAATATAAGTCTTTGTTTTACTATGGTTGCAGATATCAAAAAATTTCTATATGTGACACGGCACCAGAGTTAAGTTAGGGTTTTTCAAAATGCTGACACGCCGAGCTCAAAAGGTTCGCCATCACTGCCCTAGAGCAAGACCAGGCCTGGCAAGTGTTGAATGAGTGAGTGCAGTTTTTTAAATAAAAAAATACAGAAATGCGTAAGCATAGAAAGTGAAGTGCCCTCATGTGATTCTAGTTCCCTGATGTCCTTTGCACAGGGAGGCAAGTAGGGGTCACAGGGATCCCAAGGCGGCCTCCAGCCTCACCTCCACGTCTGTCCTTTCCAGTGTGAACGAGCTGGGGTTTGCTCTCCTCTCTGTGTCCTGCAGCTTAGTCAACTTTTCTATCAGGAACATTTTATCTTTGCCCTCCTGCCAAGAAGAAAAAGGAAAAGGAAAACATGGAGGATGAATGGTGATGTGGGGTTGAGAAGCAAATGAAGGGAAGGCTTATTTGTAGGCAGGTAGGGTCCATTGGATGGATACTGCCGCCATGTTTTTTTCTTGATGAAATAAAACATGTCATAGTAACGCCAACTAATCCCTCAAAGCCTTCCTGAATTAGGATATTCTCCTCTAAAGCAATTCCCTTAGCAGGCTTGAGTAGCAGCCTTCTCCAGCCTGGATGCTAGAAGCAGCTTACATGCCACTGTCAAAGGCCCAGGACAAATGGTTTATTGTCTCTCCCTTCCTGGCATTCCCTCTGCCCCAGAACCCTGCGTGGGCACCCAGCACTGCCTGGGTCTGCCCTGTCCTCCCACTGAGAATGTCAAAGCTTATAGCTCTGCATCTAAGGACATCAAATCTATTTCATTTGTCAAAGTTATCTGTGTCAATGGAATAGACCGAGTTAAATAATTCCCTAGTTGGGAAGGGGAAGGAAGGAAGAGGGTATGCCTTCCCCAGGGGGGTGAGTTGCTTTCCTGTGAACCTGTTGTAGATAAGAGAGTGGTATGTTCCACCTGAGTTGAGGTGGGCTAGCGAGCACCATTGATGGTCTGCCTAGTTCAGGTGAATCCAGGTCCCATGCCCTCGTTTTTCCTTCAATTTTCACTCACTAATTTTAGTTTCCACTAGTGGATCTCGCTTGTAACAATTATTACTGTGCTGTTTGTTTTATGATGATTTTCTGTTCCCCTCATTCCTTCTACATTTATTAATTGGAAATCTTCCCTACGGAAGCACTGAATTTGGGAATGCAAGGTAATCAAATCATTGGTGAGCAAAAGTCTTCTTTTATAGAGTTCCAGCTAATATATGCAGAAGAATTCTAGAATCAGAGTATCACTATTTTGTAATCCATAATGAAATAAATGGATCTTCTCTAGGCAATACTCATCAAAGGCTGCCAAGTCCATTAGAGATAAGGCTGATGAGTTTTACAATGGATGAGTCAGGCTAACAAAGCACTGATCGCTCTTAACATCACACACAAAAAAGACAATCACATTTTATACCTCAAATGCCATAAGACGCTCATAGCATCATCTATGAAGTATTCTGGCTAAAAAGTTGAGCTAGACTCTAATCAGATCTCTACATCTCACCACTAGTTTACAGGAAATAAAAAGTAAAAAGAGCCTGACTGGCATGACTCAGTGATTGAGCATGAACTTATGAGCCAGGAGGTCACGGTTCGATTCCTGGTCAGGGCACATGCCTGGGTTGCAGGCTCGATCCCCAGTGGGGGCTGTGCAGGAGATAGCCAATCAATGATTCTCTCTCATCTTTGATGTTCCTCTCTCCCTCTCCCTTCCTTTCTGAAATCAATAAAAAAATATATTTAAAAAGTAAAAAGAAACATGCCAGCCCAGCTGGTGTGGCTCAGTGGTTGAGCATTGACCCATGAACCAAGAGGTCACTGGTTTGATTCCTGGTCAGAGCACATGCCCAAGTTGTGGGCTTGATCCCCAGTAGGGGGAGTGCAGGAGGCAGCCAATCGATGATACTTCTCTCTTATTGATGTTTCTATCTCTCTATCCCTCTCCCTTTCCCTCTCTCTAAAAAAATCAATAAAAACATTAAAAAAAACCCACCCCAAAACATGCCAAACACCACAGGTTGAAAATCAGATATATCCAGAATGTGGGAATTATTACAAGACAGTGACCTGCTTTCTTCAACAATAAATGAGCCAAACTGGCTAAGGCAGATTCCAGATTTCTAACAAGGTCCCCAGTGAATTAGGAGTTTGAAGGAGCAAGACACTCAGAGAACTTGCCATTTTTAAAAAATATGTGAACAGTTATAGATTGAACAGTTATAGATTGAAAGACACATTAAAGACATACCAACCAAATACAACATATGGCACTTTTTCAGAACCAGATTTAAACAACCCTAATGTAAAAAGACACTTAATGATACAATTGGGGAAATCTGACCATTGACTGGATATTGGATGATAGGAAGGAATTATTAAGTTTTCTTTCAGGTGTGTTGATTGGTATTGTGGTTCTGTTTCTTTAAAAGTCTGTATATCTTAGGCATATAGAAGTTTTTACAGATAAAATGGTATAAGTCTAGGATTTTCTTTAAAATAACCCAGAGATTTGCAGTGAAGGGATAGTGGCTAAATGAAATAAGAACATACAATTGCTGCCCTGGTTATAGCATCGACTTGTGCACCGAAGGGTCACGGGTTCAATTCCTGGTCAAGGGCATGTACCTGTGTTGCAGGTTCGCTCCTCAGCCCCAGTCAGGACGAGTGTGGGAGGCAACCAGTCGATGTGCCTCTCTCACATAGATGTTTCTCTCCCCACTCCCCCGCCCACTCCTTTCCTCCCTTCCATGCTCTATAAGAAACAACGGAAAAAATATCCTCATGTGAGGATTACCAACAACAACAAGAAAAAAGAAGATACAATTGCTGATGGTTGTCAGGGTGGGTTATGGGCAGGTGGGGGCACATTTTACTATTCTGTTTGGGAATATGTTTGAAAATTTCCATTATAAAATGTTATAAAGGGGGAGAGGATAACAGATGGGTCCAACAGAACTTACATTAATGATCTGTTCATGGAGCAGCCTGATCATAATCTTCCTTCCCTCTGTGATCTGCCAGTAAAGATAGGTGATGATTCTGGAAGAGACGAGAAGAAAGAATGGCAGACATTTTTCACGCTCTGAATTACAATTAGGTGCAAAGGAATTAAAACATTTACTTGAAAATAGATTTGTTCCTGAAAAGTTGTGTCTGGCTGAGTAATAGGGTGAGTACGTTATAGCAATGGCTGTCCCCAGTCTGCACACGGAATCACCTGAGAGGTGGTAAAAGGACTCACGCCATGGCCCATCCTCAGATCAATTCATTGAGCTTCTCTGACTGTGGGGCCAGACATCACTATTTTAAAAATGCACATGATTCTAATGTGCAGCCAGCATTTATGAATCTGGACGGTGTTATTCAGACTTGAATGTGACACAAATTTCCTGGGACTTTGTTAAAATGCAGGTGCTGGTTCTGCAGGTCTAGGGTAGGGCCTGAGATTCCACATTTCATTTTTTAAAAATATATGTTTTATTGATTTCAGAGAGGAAGGGAGAGAGAAAGAGAGATAGAAACATCAATGATGAGAGAGAAGCATTGATCGGCTGCTTCCTACACGCCCCCTACTGAGGATCGAGCCCACAACCCAAGCATGTGCCCTTGACTGGAATCAAACCTGGGGCCCTTCAGTCCGTAGGCCGGTGCTCTATCCACTGACCCAAACTGGCTAAGGCAGATTCCAGATTTCTAACAAGGTCCCCAGTGAATTAGGAGTTTGAAGGAGCAATACACTCAGAGAATTTGCCATTTTAAAAAAATATATACTTTTATTGATTTCAGACAGGAAGGGAGAGGGAGAGAGAGAAACATCAATGATAAGAGAGAATCATTGATTGGCTTCCTCTTGCATGCCCCCTACTAGAGATCGAGTCCACAACCCGGGCATGTGCCCTTGACTGGAATCAAATTCAGGACCCTTGAGCCCACAGGCCGACACTCTATCCACTGAGCCAAGCCGGCTAGGGCAGAACTTTCCATTTTAAAGAGGCCAATGGAAACCTAGTGTTGGGGAGGAAGGCCTGACGGAGAGCCGTGTGTGTGTGTGTGTGTGTGTGTGTGTGTGTGTGTGTGTCCACACGAGGACCTGCAATCTCAGATGCCATCAGGGCTGGGCTTCCAAGAGGGACAGCCATTACTCAGCCAACCAGGTGTTCATGCAGGAAACGGGCCCAGTCTTGTCAGATCTACTTTTTTTTTTTTTTTACAAGAAGTCAGAAGTTGATCTTTTTCTATTTGAAAATGAAAATACACTATCCTATGTATCAATAATGCCCAACCCATTTTAATATGTTATAGTCTCAGAAGGAATCACACATATAATTGTCCTAAGCATTCTCATATCTTTTAAAAAATTTTTTTAGTTTCATGTTTTCTCTTATGAGGGGCAAAGCAGGTATTGCTTTCTTCATAAAACAGGCAAAAAACACCTCACCACACTCTTAAGATAATATTAAACATTAAAAAAAATCACCTAGCCTGCCGGTTTGGCCGGTGTGGCTCAGCGGTTGAGCATTGACCCTGAACCAGGATATCAAGGTTCATTTCCTGGTCAGGGCACATGCCAGGTCCCCAGTAGGGGGTATGCAGGAGGCAGCCAACCAATGATTCCTTCTCATCATTGAAGTTTCTATTTCTCTCTTTCTCTCCCTTCTTCTCTCTATAATCAATAAAAAAGAATTAAAAAAAAAACAACCCCAAAACTCAAGGGCAGCCCTGGCTGGTGTTGCTCAGTGGTTGGAGCATCGGCTCAAGCACCAAAGAGTCTTGGGTTCAATTTCTGGTCAAGGGCACGTACTTAAATTGCAGGTTCTATCCGCAGTCCCAGTAACATGTGGGAGGCAACCAATCAATGTTGCCTCACATTGATCCCTCTTTTTCTCTCTCCCTTCCTTCTTCCCTTCTGCTCTCTCTAAAAAAAATCAATGGAAAATATATCCTTGGGTGAGAATTAACAACAAACAAGCAAACAAAACTCAGGGGCCAAGTCAGGATCATCCAGAACACTGAGCTATTCTGTAGCCCTTTGTTTTCCCACCAGACATCCCTGTAGCTGTCCGCATGGTGTGTCAATAAAGTGTTTGCCAAGGTGCCCCACTCACAATACGATGAGGGTGAGGATGAAAAAGAAGTGCACGCTGCCGATGAGGTTCCGGTAGATCCAGACCACCCACAGGTAGCTGGGGCTTTTACTCAGGGTGTCGATCCAGCTGTAAATGGAGTGAATGAAGAAGGGCAGTCCTCTAAACGGGCCACAATCAGCGGACGGTTTCAATCTGGTAAAACAAGGGACAGAAAAACACCTCTAGTGCGAGACTCTGGTCTAGTTGGAGCTACACTCAGGCTGCACTTTCTAGGCTCTGGAATCAGCAGTTCTTGCCGGTTCCACCCACACCACCTTCCAGAGGAAACCTTCTCCCAGCCCCAGCTGGTGTATTTCATACTCATGACCCACATCCTGAGGACCAGCGCTCAGACAGGAGTATCATCTCCAGTGGTCGGCAAACTCCTTAGTCAACAGAGCCAAATATCAACAGTACAATGACTGAAATTTCTTTTGAGAGCCAAATTTTTTAAACTTAAACTATATAGGTAGGCACATTGTTATTAACTTAATTAGGGTACTCCTAAGGCTTAGGAAGAGCCACACTTAAGGGACCAAAGAGCCGCATGTGGCTCGCGAGCCGCAGTCTACCGACCATGGATCTGAGCCCACGGTAGTCAATTCACGGCAGCCTCTGTGGTACCCAGGCTCAAAGAAATGAACTGGGGCAGCCAGATTCTCTTTCTTGGGGACTTGAACTCAGAAATATGAAGAGAGGACCCTGTAATCTATGGAACCTGAAGGTGTGGCGATGATGGCCACGGGCACTCAGTTGTTATGAACGAGCAGAAACTAGAGGGCAACAAGGGACTGGTTAGGAAGAAACACAAAAAAGAGTAACAAGGATATTGTGAAGCAGAGTAGCCTGCTCTGAAGCCACTTGAATTGCCAATGGTTCCAGTTCCACATGTATCCTAAAAACTAACCCACTTAAAGTTCTATTTCCTTCCTCCCTTCCTTCCTTCCTTCCTTCCTTCCTTCCTTCCTTCCTTCCTTCCTTCCTTCCTTCCTTCTAGTTTTACTGCACTTGTACCAGGCACTGTGCTAGATACTTAGCCCTGGAGAATCCATAGTAAACAAAACAGACATGGTACCTGCCCTCGCAGATGTCTGTTCTAGTGGGAAAGATGGACAACCAATGAGCAAACAATTAAAAAAGATTCAAACAAACGCATTTCTGACTGTGAACTATGGAATGAAGAAAAGAAATTGGCCTGGGAGAAAGCAGAGGTGGAACTGACAATAGACAAGGATGGTCCCGAAGGTCAGAATTTGGAGATGACTTTTGAGCCAAGAACCAGAGGATGGAAAGAAGGTCTCTAAGCAAAGGGGGTGGGGAGAGCTCTTCCAATAGAGAACCCTACTCCACATGGGGAGGAGCTCTCAGAGTCTCAGGAATGGAGCGAGAGCTGTGGGGCCAAAGGAGGAAGGAGCCGATGGGGGTGAGGTTGGAGAAGCAGGAGAGAGCCTGATCAGACAGTGCCTTTCAGTTTATTTAGATGCAGTTCTGTTCTCCAGGTGGAGGAACTGGCCTTTCTCCATTTTTCAGAAAGTGAGGAAGCTGAGCCAGTCATGAGGGTGGGCCCCTAACTCAGACTTATTCCCTCCCTTGGATGTGTGTCTGTTGGTTAGCCAGGGAACCTGGGGTTCAACACTGCATTGAGCATGTCTCTTTACTCTGATGGTTAGACATCTGGGGCTCTACTGATCCTGGAGAGACTGCCATTCCCTGGGCTATCCTACAAACTCAGTCTTTCATGTGCAAACCAACCAATCCAGAGCCAGCATTCCACCCTCTATCAAGCTCTCACACCTTGGGTCACGATTCTCCTGCCCCAATCACCCCAGGGCCAGATATCTGGCAACTCCAGACAACCCCAATACCCCAGAGCCTGCTGAAATTATTCAAACTAGCCAGTCCTTACCCTGCCTCACCATTCCTCCCATGGAAGCCACAATAAAGGCTCTTGCCCACCTTTCCCCATTGCTCCTTCTGCCTCCTGAGCTACGCTGGTGCCTGCCCATGTGCCCCCTCTGTCCTTTGTGATGGGTTGTGCCCCCTTTTTGGGGATCTGTGAGTATAACAAATTATCTTTTCAGTGGCAGTCACCCCCTGATCTGTCGGCCTCACCAAGTCTGAATAATAATAAAACCTACATTTTAAAACACCCACCCAACCCAGCTCTCAAACCTCATCCTAAGGCCGCCATCTCCTACCTCCAGATGGTGATGGCCAGGGTGCACAGGACCCCAGTGAAGGACGGGAAAAAGAGCAAGAAGATGAAGAAAGTCATCATCTGTGAGGCCCGCCAGGCTTTGCTCGGAGGCTGGAAATTCATCATCAGGCTGATCTGAAGAGAGAGGAGTGGCCGCCTACCATCTGTGAGCAGGCCAGGGGGACCCCAGCCAGATACTGGCTTCCCGATAACCTTCTCAGCCCGCCCCCACACCCTCCCACTCCTGATTCCAACCACCACGGGGTCACATGTGAATGAGCCACGCTGATTGGTTCCGACTTCAGACTGACTCACATTTTTGACGTAAAACATGATGAAAAGAGTAATCATTTGGATAAAGGGCAGCAGAGGGCAGAAGAAGGTTCCAATCCTGTGAGGGAGAGAAGGTGAGTGTCAGAGATCAGGGGAGACATGCGGTGGGGGCATAGAGGGGTGTGGAGGGAATGGAAAGGGGGTGTTATGGGCTGTATCATGCCCCTCAAAAACTCAAATATTCAAGTTCTAACCCCAGTATTTCAGAGTGTGACTGTATTTGAAGATAGGGCCTTAAAATGAGGTGACTAGGGTGGGCCCTAATCCAATCCTCTGAAAGAAGAGGTTAGGACACAGACACACAGGGGGAAGACGGTGTGAAGACACAGGGAAAAGATAGTCTTCTATAAGCCAAGGAGAGAGGCCTCAGCAAAAATCAACCCCGTGGACACCGGACACCGTGATCTTGGACTTCTAGCCTCCAGAACTATGAGGAAATAAATGTGTGTTGTTTAAGCCCGCTGGTCTGGGTTTCTTTGTTATGACAGGCTAATAGACTAATGCAGAGGGAGACTGCTTCCATCCCTACACCCCCGGCAAGTTCCTCCCACCGTACCCAGTATCCACAGCTGCTCCCTTCCCAGCTCTGGAAAAGAGATTTTGCAGAGAACCCCACCCACACAGACACGAAACCACCAGATGTCCTGAGCAAGCGCTAACTGAGGTGCCCCAAATGTGAAACACGTCACCCTCCTCCCTCCATGGTACCCAGAAGGTCTGAGGTCCTGCAGGGACTGACATTAAACTACATCGAGTTACAAATGAGAAGGCACTCCCTCTTCCACAATCCTCCTTGCTCCGGAGCCCAAAAGAAGATCTCAGTTTGGTGCCAGAATCTCTTTAACTCATAACATATGCCAACCTCCCATTTGGTTGAAAAAAGGAGGCGGCTTCTGACTGGCCCTTAGCAGACAGCAGCATTTAGCTAGAATGTCATGACTGCTTGTGATGAGATTGATATTATTTTCCAAGATACTTGCAATGTCTGTCAAATGACACTGGTTTTTCATTTTCTAATTATAAAATGAAGACTCCTTTAAAAATGTATTTAAGCTTGCCCCGCCAGTGTTGCCAAGTGATTGCGGGTCGACTTATGAACTAGGAGGTCATGGTATGATTCCCGGTGAGGGCACATGTCTAGGTTGCAGGCTCAATCCTTAGTTGAGGGCATGCAGGAAGCAGCCGATCAGTGATTCTCTCTCATCAATGATGTTTCAAGCTCTCTCTCCCTCTCCCTTCCTCTCTGAAATCAATAACAATATTTTTTAAAAATGTATTTAAGCTTAAAAAAGGCAAATATTTTAAAAAATAATATTAAGTAAAAAACAGTACAGGCGATATGTGGATATGCCAATAATAGACAGGCTGGTGTACAAAAGACTGAAGTTTGGGAAACACTTTCCTCACCTTACCTCTACCATCATCCCTAACATCACTCAGTTTCTGTCATTATATTATCTTCTTTTAAAGCTCATCATCAAAGGCAATAGTCTCCTAAAATCCACGGAGGCTAAATCTATAATTGCCACTGAGAAGAGAAAAGATGTTTGTATTTTCAATTGTGCTTATTTATGAGTTATTAGCAAAAACCCTTAAAGGCCCAGAAGTAATAATGGCCATCTCCGATTGTAACTTTCCCCCACTTATAAAACATTTCTGAGTCAGGTAGTCACTACGCACTTAGTACGCTTCTCATTTAATCCTCACCTAAACCTGTGAAATAGGTACTATTATTGTAGCAGGCAGTTAGACAGACAGGAGCAGAGTAGGACAGGTGCTGAAGGTCACCAGGGTGCAAAGCTTGGGGTGCCTAGCAACAGACAATTGTAGGATGGAATCTTGCCTCCAGGGTGACTTTTCCTCCCCTTTCATATTACTAGTCATGAGGTTTAGACCCCCTGACCTTTCATATTGCTAGTCATGTGGTAGACCCCCTTAGAGGAGGAACAAGGTGCTGGAGAATACAAGCCCTTGCACAGGCACTCCCCCTAGAGCAGTGGTTCTCAACCTTGGCTGCACATTAGAATCACCCGGGAATCTTTTTAAAATCCTGATTTCCGGGCCTCATCCTCTGGAAATTCTGTTTCTTTGTTATGGGATGGGGCCACAACATTAGTAACAAAGAAACAGAATTTCCGGAGGATGAGGCCCGGAAATCAGGATTTTAAAACGATTCCCAGGTGATTCTAATGTGCAGCCAAGGTTGAGAACCACTGCCCTAGAGACAACATCTAGGCCTCAGTTGTGTTTCAGCCCCAGGCCCAGAAAAGCAGCAAAGCCAGGCATTGCTCATGTAGGGCCAGCTGCATTGAATAATGATCCACTGCATTGGCGCTGGCCAATCAGTGGAGACCACAACCCTGGAAAGCTGATGAGTATTCTATTGAGAGCCTCTCTTGGGACCTTCCCTTAAAAGCTCCTAGGACAGAGGGCCCAGCCTTCTCTGGAACAAGGCTCTCTCTGGAACACGTGGGAGCCTTTCCACATTTATATCCCTGCTTTCTTTCTCTTAAGTTCCAAGAGCCCTTCTTTTGCCTCTGTAAATTGTTTCCTGAGCCCACAGAGGGCCAGTTGGCTCACTTCTTCCACAGCTCACATCTCCCTCTGTGACGAACTATGTGAGCCTTGGCTCTGAATTCCTTCTTAGCCAGAACTCAAATACCGTACCAAGGTTGCTGAACCAAACTCCAATCTCAGGTAATATTCTGAACATTATCACTTCCATTGACAGATTAGAAAACTGTTTAGAGAGCGTTTAATTAACTTGCCCAAAGGCACCCTGTTGGTTGATATAATGTGCTCAGGTGTCAGGGCGTAACCTGCAACGTGCAAATACATCACCTAAAACCACATAAAGAAAAAGTCCTCACTACCTCTAAAAAGAAATTCATCTAAAAAGAAATTAATTGACATTAGTGAGTTATTTGAAGATAGCTAAATCACCCAGGGCAACTCTAAAGAGTCGGAAAATAAACCACTTTATAGTTGGATGGCATATTGAAGATTGCAATGTAGTTTCCATATATCATCTGACTCAATCCTGAACACAATTCAAAGGCAGCTATGATTATGTGAATTTTATTTTTACTCTAGTTAACCCTGACTCGAGAATATTTTTCCATTGACTCTTTTTTTTAGAGAGAGTGGAAGGGAGGTCGAGACACGAAGAGAGAAACATTGATGTGAGGGAGACACATAGATTGGTTGCCCTCTGCATGTGCCCTGACCAGGACTGGGAATTGAGCCTGTAACTGAGGTACATGCCCTTGACCAGAATCGAACCTGGGACCCTTCAGATAGGGCTGACGCTCTATCCACTGGGCAAAACTGGCTAGAGCTATTATGTGCATTTTACAGATGAGGAGACAGGCTCAGAGAAGCTCAGCGACCTCAGTGAGGAGCAGAGCCAGCCCCAGAATCCAAGTTTCTTTGTTATGGCAGCCTAATAAACTAATACAGGGGGCACCTGCTTCTAATTTCAAATCCCCTACTTTCAAATTAGCAACGCCCCAACGGATGGAATCTGGGATACACCATACAGAATTCTGGCCTTAATAACATCATGTTAAGATAAATAAAAATAATCACTGGCTATTGGTTTGAGTTTCTAGGTAAGCTTGTTAAATATATATTTTTTAATATTTTATTGATTTTTTACAGAGAGGAAGGGAGAGGGATAGAGAGCCAGAAACATCCATCAGCTGCCTCCTGCACACCCCCTATTGGGGATGTGCCCGCAACCAAGGTACATGCCCCTGACTGGAATCGAACCTGGGACCCTTCAGTCCACAGGCCAACGCTCTATCCACTGAGCCAAACCGGTTAGGGCGCTTGTTAAATATTTGATGCAATTAGCTGGCTAGTCTCAAAAGACACATGTGCACCCTCCGGCACACATGCACATACATAGCTGCTAAGACAGGCCACAAACCCCCAAGGCTACAGAGGCCCCATCCAGTGTTACTATATCAGTGAGTATAGCAGACCAGGTATAAGAAATAAACAGCCCTCCTGCCTTTATTTTCCCACTTCTATTGAAACATCCATCAATGCAAAGTAAAAATTTCTACCATAAGAAAACGAATACCAGAAGGGCACCAAGAAATGGCAAATCTATGTTGGGAAGATAATAGCGAGGGGGGAACTATGGCAAATTGGAGGGGCTCAGCCCAGCTCAAGACCCAGCCAATTGTTACCATAATGCAGTGGTTCTCAACCTGTGGGTCGCGACCCCTTTGGCGGTCGAACGACCCTTTCACAGGGGTTGCCTAAGACCATCCTACATATCAGATATTTACATTACGATTCATAACAGTAGCAACATTACAGTTATGAAGTAGCAACGAAAATAATTTTATGGTTGGGTCACAACATGAGGAACTGTATTTAAAGGGCCAGAAGGTTGAAAACCACTGCCATAATGGGAGACGGATACATCTTTCCTTTTTTGGAAGAAGTCAAAAATTTTAAATTTTATATGAAACCTCCTGATTTTTAAATATTGATGGCTATTTCCAATTTTTAGAAAAAACAGTGTGAGATAAGCAAAACACACCTGCAGGCTAGATACGGCCTGGGGCCTCCAGGTCAGGATTCCTGTTCTATTTTAATTCTTGCCTGAAGTCCTCACACTGGCTAGACTTGGTATCCCCCGTGCAGCTTTAGAATCAACAGATTCTGTGACTCGCCACCAAGCTCTGAGTCCACAGCAGGCAGGAACCACTGGGCACAGGGAAGATTCTCAAAACTCACCACACCAGCGTTTGTGCGTAGATCAGTTCTAGGACATTCCTGGCAATGTCAAACTCCTGTAAGCCGAGGCTTGTGATAAACTGCATCCCAATGATTCTGCGAGAACATACCGAGTTTAGCACCCAAATCCATCAACTCCCTCCTTCAAAAGATTCCCCACAATCAACAAAGGAGACCCTCACCAGTTTGGAATAAATTCATAAGTCCCCTTAGAAATTTTTGAAAAGTTCCAAGTACAAGCATGTTTTTGAAGAAATAATTGAAGGAACTGAGGGAAGATGGAATTGACATAAGACATTCAAATGGGTGTGGGGGAGGGAGGTACAGCTAATGTAGTTTAAAAAATTATAGAGAACATTTGTTACCTTATTATTTAAATGATCTCATCTATTATCTTGTTTATACAACTGTTTGCTTGTTAAGCCTTTTTTAAATGACCAAATAAACTCAGTCCCTCCCAACCCAAATAAATTGAAATTTTTTCCATTTTTGATTAATGTTGTCGAATTAATGGTCTTCCCCTGCTCCCAAATCCATAAGGAAGGAACCAAGGTCTGCATTTATGCTGAGGAAACTTGAGACCATTTTTATTTCTTCATACAGAAGAGTTGCCAGTAAGAATTGCTGTCAAAATAACCCCCCCAAACTTCTCACTTTTATGTCCATACCCCAGACAGAGGCTGTAATAAAAGTTAGTTTGGGAAGACTGAGTGTGAAATTTTGTCATTCAACCCACCCACTGAGGAGAGAATTGGCATTGTATCATGCCACCTTATTACTGCAGCAGCTTGTAGAAATATGGAAATGTCTCTAAGGAATGAGATAGTCATGATATTGTTTAAAAATAAATAAATAAATAATAAGGACTACATGTGGGCTAATGATGACACTGCCTTGATTCTGCACATCTTGGTTCTAAAATAAAAATTAGTACCGTAACTAAATCCAATTAAATGAATCATGAGCTAAATCTATATGTACTGGCATGGAAAGGTGCCAAAGCATTGTGATTAGATTAACAAAAGCAACCTCCACACCGATTTTTCAGTGTGACCCCATTTTTGTACATCTATATATATAAAAGCCTAATATGCAAAGTGTCCCCTTGGGAGTTCGACCAACTGAGAGTTTGATCACTCGCTATGATGTGCACTTACCATCAGGGGGCGGCGTGGAACGAAGGAAGGCCCCAGCTAGCAGCCGGCAGCCGCTAGGGACCCTACCTGTGCACAAATTTCGTGCACTGGGCCTCTAGTACACATATAAAGCAGTACATGCATAGAATAATCTGGAAGAATATACACTAGAATATTAAAATGATCTGTGGGGAATAAGACCTCAAATGGCTCTCCGTTTTTGTGTTTTATTCTAGAACATTTTTTTTTTTTTAAAGAGAAAGTTGGAAAGGGCCAACTGAACCAAAAGGACTTTGACAACAGAACTCTCAGGCCAAGGTGAAAGTTCAGTTAATTCAGAAGAAAACAATATCCCAAAGGACAACAGGCAGATTTAGAACAATGCAGTCTTAGAGAACGTGAAGGGCCCACACTTCCTGCTCAGACGAGGCAATGGCTCCAGTTACAACCCTATGTACTAATCACCCAAGGCAGACAAATATTTACCTCCTCAGGAACTCCCCCAGGAAGGAATCAGCTAGAGAGAACACAAAATCCATCAGAAGGAGCCGGTAGATTTCCTGGCCAATCAGCGTTTCCCAGCACTGGAAGGCAAACAAGAATCAGGTTGTGGGAAGGGGCTGTTGCCTCTGCTCAATTTCTATCTGTTCCTGGCACCCTGTATTCATGAGGGCATGGCTAGTGGCTCAGTCTGATGGAGTTCTGAGTGCCCAGAAAAGGAGACCCACTCTTGGTAGAAATGCATCAATTAGATTGAGTTTGTTTTCAGGGTATTTATTCCTTTTCTGTGATGTTTCTTCTTTCATTAAGGCTTGCCCTCCACATGCATCCAAACTTTCCCTTCTCACTCTCTCTCCTTTAAACACTTGTCATTCCTGTCCCATATGCCTTCTGGATCCCATTTCTCCGCCAGGGATAATCAGCTTCTTCAGGAGAGCAGGAGGGATCAATGGCTAATGATGCCTCCACTCCTTTTGTTCATTAACCTTATGAAAAATCAATTAACATCTGTTGGATTAAGAAAGTAGCCTAGAGGTGTAGGTAGCCAGCTAGCACAAACTGGAAGGTTGAATTAGTCAGTTTATGAAACTGGCAGTCTATTACCTCTGCAGGAAGTTAGTACAATGAGCTGATGGACTGAGTAAGAGCTTTTAGATTTGGCTGAATGAGGAGAGGAAAGTTTTGGATGGGTGGGTGGATGGGTGAATGAATGGATAAATGGATAAATGAATGGACAGATAGAAGAAGATATTTGCTCTAATATCATAAGCAGAAACTCTTGAGGAATTTGAGGAACTCACTTCCTCTCTGGTGGTCAAAGACTAAGAAACCAAAGTGAAGGCAGAACAGCATGGAAGGCTCACCTCTTCACCAGCCAGGGCAACATTGTGGAGCCAATAGTAACAAAGAATTCCAATGATTGATATTTTCAAAAAGATGTTTCTGAATAACAGAAGAGAAAACAACTATCATTACTGTCTATGGCCGTCATTAGTGCTGTTCGCCAATATTTCCTTTTGGGCACAAAGTAGGATAGAAATTCTTGCCCCACTGTAGTTGAGTGGGGCTATGTAGCTAGTTCTGGCAAATGAGTTGTGAGCAAAAGTGATGTGTGTTACTTTATGTCACTTCTAGGCTGGAGCATTTAAAAGCCAGGGAGACCCTCCCCACTACCCACCCCAGGAACTTACTGTCTTCCCTCTGGAATGGTCATCAGCAATATTTGAGATGATTGTTGCTCTCTCAGCCTGGATCCCTGAATTACTGACATGAGCGAAAAACCCTGCCAATCCACAAGGGGCATGTAGCATGGACAAGAAATAAACCTTTGTTTCTTTTAAGCCACTGAGATTTGGGTCACAGGAGATGTTTATTATCATGGCATAAACAAATTTGTTCTGATTGATACACCCTCTTTTGGTACATATCAAAATCTGATTTTACTTTTCATTATAATAGTAATCTATTCATTGGGTGCTACCATAGACAGTACACTGTGTTAAGCACTTTATTAAAGCATCCCTCTTAATCTGTACAACTCTATCATCAAGTAGATAGCATTTTATGCCTATCTTACCAATGAGGGAACTGAAGCTCAGAGAGATAAAATAACTTGCCCAAGGTCACACAGCTTATTAGGGGCATGAAAAAGATTCAACCTGAGGACCATCTGATTTCACAGCCTCAGTTCTTAAACCCAGGTATTTAAGTCAACAACTGCTGGTTTTAAGATTGGTGGGCTAGGAATCATGTGTCACTAGACCAGTAGTTCTCCAAGTGTGGTCCCCAGACCACCACCATCATCAATCATCATCATCATCATCACCATCATCTGTAAACTTGTTAAAAGGACAAATGTTTAGGGTTCATCCCAGACGTATGGAATCAGAAACTCTGGGAGCGGGGCCTAGCACTCCCTGCAGGTAATTCTGCTGCCCAATGAAGGTTGAGAACCATTGTGCTAGATCCATTGTGAAGGAAGGGAACTGGATCTGTCTTTTTAAATGCCAGATCCCCAACCTCTTGCCCATTGCCAAGCCCTACTATGACCTGCAATATCTTCTAGATTAATGCCTTAGTATACTGTGATATTGTGAGTTATAAGAAATACTTATTTGATCTTTGGCCCCGTTTCTGGCACAGAGCTTCTAAAAACCCTTCCTTGGAATTTTTTAAGCGAGGAGAGCGATAAAAAGTGTCTTTTGTTTGGTAAGGAGGGGCTTTTGGTAATACCTAGAACAGTGATGGCAAACCTATGACACGCGTGTCAGGTGACACGTGAACTCATTTTTTTGGTTGATTTTTCTTTGTTAAATGGCATTTAAATATATAAAATAAATATCAAAAATATAAATCTTTGTTTTACTATGGTTGCAAATATCAAAAAATTTCTATATGTGACACGGCACCAGAGTTAAGTTAGGGTTTTTCAAAATGCTGGCACGCCGAGCTCTAAAGGTTCTCCATCACTGACCTAGAAGGTTGGAACTTTCAGTCTCACCTCCCTGACCTCTGGGGAGGGAAGAGGGGCTAGAAGTTGAATCAATGGCTAATGACCAATGAACTAATCAATTATGCCTATGTAGTGAAGCTCCATAAAACCCAAAGGACGGGGTTTGGGGAGCTTCTGAATTGGTGAACATGTGGAGTTGCTGGGAGAATGATGTGCCTGGGGAGGGCATGGACGTTCCCAACCTTCCCCCATTCCTTGCCCTGTGCATTTCTTCCACTTGGCTGTTCATGAGTTAATAAACCAGTGATCTAGGAAGTAAATGTTTCTCTGAGTTGCTCTAGCAGAGTAATCTAATCTGATGCAGGGGGTGGGGTGGGAACCTCCAATCCATAGCTGATAAATCAGAACCACAGGTTACAACCTAGATTTGCAATTGGCATCTTGTAAGACTGTGTCCTGAGCCTGTGTAATATCCAGGTAGATAGTTCAGAATTGAGTTGAATTGTTGGACACCCACCTGGTGTCAGAGAACTGCTTGGTGGTGTGGGGGAAAACCTTCATATTATGCCTATGTAGTGAAGCTCCATAAAACCCAAAGGACAGGGTTTGGGAGCTTCTGAATTGGTGAACATGTGGTGTTGCTGGGAGAGTGATGTGCCTGGGGAGGGCATGGACATTCCCGACCTTCCCCCATTCCTTGCCCTGTGCATTTCTTCCACTTGGCTGCTCCTGAGTTATATCCTTTTATAATAAAGCAGTGATCTAGGAAGTAAATGTTTCTCTAAGTTCTGTGAGCTGCTCTAGCAGAGTAATCTAATCTGATGCAGGGGGTGGGGTGGGAACCTCCAATCCATAGCTAATAAATCAGAACCACAGGTTACAACCTAGACTTGCAATTGGCATCTTGTAACACTGTGTCCTTAGCCTGTGTAATATCCAGGTAGATAGTTCAAAATTTAGTTGAATTGTTGGACACCCAGCTGGTGTCAGAGAACCGCTTGGTGGTGTGGGGGAAAACCTTCATACATTGGAATTGGTGTCAGAACTTTATAAATACTGCAGTGTAGCTCCACATTAAACATGAAAACACACTCTTCTAAGCAAAGAAAAGTTTATCTTAGAAAGATTGTGTATTTCTGAGCTTTCCCATTTTCTCTTCATGTAGAAGAGATGTTTAATGTTTTGTGAAACAATACAAATGGCTACTGTATATTAAGAGACAATTCACCTCTCTAGTGATCAGAAAATGAAGATTAAATAGCAAAGGCATTGGGTCAAAGTGGCATTCTGAATGTATATGTCTACTTACAACCTCTTCTTTTTATATTGTAAGAAGAGAAATTATTTTAGAGTCGGTCTTGGGATGGTCAACTCTCTAAGTACTACCATGTTCTAACATATCGTTATTTTGCCTTGCTATTTGCATGTGGGTTTGAATGGGCCAAAGATTCTGTATTCTAACTAACCTCTTCTGGAGCCTACAGGTGTTGCTCTGAGATTTTCTGATTTCTAGTGTGGTCAAATACTCACCCAGCTGCTCTTCCTAAAACATTAAATAAATACCAGTGAGCAAAGAAGCCAGTGAAACTTATTATTAACGTATACACTAAAAAAACAGATTACTTAATGCCACTGAATTGTACACCTAAAAATTATTAAAATGGCAAATTTTATGCTATATACCACAATAAAAAGTCCCAAATATTCCTAACCCGGGAGAGGAGGCATCCAGTGGGGTGAGGTGGATAGAAGTGAGGGCTTGCTAAGATTTTTCTTCAGGAGAATAATACTTATATAGATTAACGCTAAACGCTGACCTAAAAAGGTGTCAACAATTTTTTTCTGTGAAGACCCAGATAGTACATATTTTTGGCTTTATGGCCATGCAGTCTTTGTTGCAGCGACTCAATTCTGCCGTTGTAGCAGGAAAGCAGTGGCAGACAATATGTCAACAAGTGGACATGGTTGTGTTCCAATAAAGCTTTATTTATAAAAAAGGAGGCTGGCCTGCAGGCTGTATTTGCCAACTCCCGATCTAAAACATGTGTGTGTATGTGTGTGTGTGTGTGTGTGTGTGAATATCCTTGTTATAAATTGAGGGTAACAAAAATGTGTCAGTTCTGTAGGAAGTTAAACATGGATGTAAGTATAGATTTGCTACCTGCAGAAGGAGCATTCCAGGAAGAAGTAATGTCCAGGACAAAGGTCCAGATGTGGGTATATAGTTTGGCATGACTGTAAATACTTAGGTTTCCATGGGGATGAGGGCACACTGAGGAATGGGAGGAGAGCTGGCCAGGAGCTTGAGCTCAGAGGCCATAAGACAAGGGCTCTGGAATTGATCAGTAAAGAAACTCAATCTGCACTGTACAGCCCTGTCGTCATAAACACCATCATAGCATAGAACTGGTCAGGGACCTAGCTAAGAAGTAGCAATAAGAACACAATTTGGGTAGTTTTATGCCTTATTTGCCAAAACCCTGGGGTCGCCTCTAGCACATACAGTGCTTTTGTGGGAATCAAAATAAGGCATCACCATGCCCAGCCAAGAAATTGCCAAAAGCCCTCCCTCCACCTTCATTTAGGCGGTTGAATTATCAAAATGTGCCTCTCCCTCTCGGCGGATGCAGTGGGTACCAGGGCTCACAATCTGGCTCGTGGACACACTGGATGATTTCAGTCCCCAGACAACGCCTCAGCCAGGAAGCTGTGTGCTGTGTGCAACCTGCCTATCTGTCCATCTTACACCTGAGACCGATGTTAATCCTTAGGCTGGTAGCAACTGGGAAAGATAAGTCATTATTTTGAGCAAAAGGCAGATGTAACTAAAAGCCTGTATTTTCTCTGGGCTCTTTGAATTTTATGGTTATTTACCCACACCATACAAACACACTATACTCTTGAATTTTTTTCCTGGAAAACTCGAGCATAACCCTTTCTAGCTGCCACTCTACTTTCCTCCGTGAAAACGGGGGCTGGTGTTGGGAGTGACAGACACACCTACCGGATCAGGAGGACATACACTTCCTGCCGCGGAACCTCATAGTGCTCCACCAGCCCGAACATGGAGTAGAAGCGAGGCACCGCCAGGTTGATGCAGGACACCACGAAAGGCAGTAACAGCACCGCCCCGGGGTTCTGGTGGCTCTGCAGGAACTGCGGGGGGTGGAGGGAGAGAATCAGATGCCAACTGTGCACTGGACCCCTCTCTGCCTCGCTCAGAAGATCCCTCACCATGGAAACCCCCCCGGCAGTAGTTCCTCTGGGGTCAGCTATTAAGTTACTGGTTAGTGAGCACTGACCTGTGGCAAGCATTCACTACCCACATGATTGCAGCCCAGCCGGTTAAGTCTGACTTAACCGACGGGCAAACTGAGACGCAGAGAGGTGGAGATGCTTGCCCAGTGTCACCCTGCTAGGAAGGGACAGATTTGAACCTGGGTCTATCTGACTCAGGAGCCTGACCTCAAAAAGTCATCCTGCAACCCAGGTATGTGCCTTTGACCAGGAATAGAACCTGGGACCCTTTAGTGCGCGGGCCAACCCTCTAACCACTTAGCAACATCAGCCAGGGCTCAGAAGTCTTCTTTATACCTATAGTTGCCCCATCACAGCTTCCACCCCAGGCAATGCCAGGCCCCTGAGGGCTGTGACTCAACTTCCCCTCTTTCAGAGCACACCTTAATATAGTGAGTGGCAAACCTGGGTTGCGTAATCCCACATCCATGTTCTTGTTGGCCTCTCCTTCAGTTATTCATCCATTTGTGGAGCATCTACTATGTACTAGGTATTAGGCCAGGTTTCTGGCTACAGTCTTTTTTGAAACAGATGCATAAACAGGTATTTTTAATGCTGCATGTGACAAGTGTACAGGGAAAGCCTGCAGATTATGAAGCACCTAACTCAGCCTAGTGAGGGTGGTGATGGTGAGAGAAGAGGAAGTGACACCTATGCTGAGGTCCAGAGGAGGAAAAGGAGTTTATAAGATGAAGGGAAGTGAAGGGGCATGCAGAATGGACTGCAGGTTTCTCACCTAGAGATGAGGGAAAACATGATGTATTCAGGGAACTATGGACACACCATTTAGTGTTGCTGGTGTGGGATATGGGTGGTTGTGGAGTATTGAGGCTAGAGATATGGACAGGGGTCAGATCATAAAAGATCTAGCAACCATGCTACAGAGGATAGATTTTATATCGAGGCTAAAGGGAAGTCATTTAAAAAAGTGACCAACTTGCACCACAGTTCTAGAGCTCAGCAAACTGGCTACATCTAGGAAAAAGCTGAAACCTACAGAAAAACAGTACTTTACCCAGGCCACATAGCTAATTGATCTCAGAGTTCATATCATTTAAAAACAAAACAAGCCCTAACTGGTTTGGCTCAGTGGATAGAGCGTCGGCCTGCGGACTGAAAGGTCCCAGGTTCGATTCCGATCAAGGGCATGTACCTTGGTTGTGGGCACATCCCCAGTAGGAGGTGTGCAGGAGGCAGCTGATCGATGTGTCTCTCTCATCGATGTTTCTAACTCTCTATCCCTCTCGCTTCCTCTCTGTAAAAAAAAAATCATCAATAAAATATATTAAAAAAACAAAACAAAACAAAACTAACATTCCTTCATCACCCGCTGTACCAGGCACTGGGCAGACTCTCCACATAACTTTTCTCTAGTCCTGACCGCACACCTACAAAGCCAGGTATGACCATTCCTACTTTACAGGTGAGGAGTCTGGGGCTCAGAAGGATTAAGTCACTTGCCAGAGTCCATCAGATCACAATACTTAGTGAGTGTCTACACTGTGCCAGGGGTTTGGGGAAGCAGCAGGGATATAATAATAAAGGAAGAAACCAGCCAAAGTTCCCATCTCTCCAATAGCCCAGAGCATCTCACGCTAAGTCGTGCACACACATCACCTGGGGACGTTGCTAAGATGTGATTCTGAGCCCATGGGCTACAGGAGGGACCTGAGATCCTGCATTTTTAAACTGGTTTCCAACTGATGCCAATGGACCCAGTGTGAGTAGCAGGGTCTACGTCCCTCTCCCCTCCAGCATCCCACCCTTCCCCTGGATCTCTGTGCTCTGCACCTTGCTGCTTCTGGCACTCTGGTTACCTCTAAGTTGTTCTCAGCCAGGTAATAAACCGCTACACAGCAGGCAACGGCCACTCCGGTAGAGATAACCCAGGCCGCCAGGTGGACAGACAAGCGGGTCAGCTGCTGATTGAGCGTTAATTTGACATTCTCCTGAAGGATTTCTGACAGGTTCTCCTATAAACACAAGGAAGTCACATTGGCCCGGAGGGTGAATACTCTTCACTCTCAGAAACACAAATCCACCCCAGATCCACAGGAGAGAGACAGGGAAAGTTCATGATGAACAGGGATTATGGGACAACCCATGGGAAAAATCTCAAATGGGCAAGAACTTCCATTACTGCATCAAATGCCGTTTTTAATCGTAGAGGAACAGATAGGACCAGCAGATTGGGACCGTGCTCCTAGGAAAGTACACTGAGGTCATGAAATCCTTGAAGAATAACAAGTTAACATCTGCAATCCTCTTGACAAAGCCCCTTTGTTTATGCATTCTGCTTGCTCTATCTTTTTAATAAGTTTTTTTTTTTAATAGACCAGGGTTTTTCAGCATTTGGGGCCAGATAGTTCTGTGTGTGGCAGCTGTCCTGTGCATATCAGGATGTTTACCTGCATCTACACTAGATGCCAATAGCACCCCCAACCCTCCCAAATTGCATTTTAACCAGAAAAGTGTCCAGACATTGCCATATATTCCCTGAAGGGCAAAACTTTCCTGGGTTGAAAACCACTGGATAACATTTTAAACGTGGCACTATGAGGTCAAGAAGTATTTACACTTAACATTTTGTAAGTTGCCCTCCAGTAAGCTTGTACCAATTCCAAAGCCACCGTGTCCTGTGAAAATGTCCAGCTCCCTACACCATCACAAGCACCGGGCACTGTGAATATTTTTTTCTGGGTTTTTGGGGGTGTTTCTTTTTTTTTGCTAATATCATTGGCAATAATAAAATAACTCCTTATTACTTTAAGAAAAGTCACAGACATACTGAAGGAGAGAAGGAGACTGGCCGGGGAAGGTGTTGTCAAAAGCAAGCTTGCCTTACCCTTATCTCAGTGCTAAGATTCTTCTGTTTCAGCTTCACAGCTTTTTCGTGGGTGATGGTGAAGTCCCAGCAAAAAATAAGTTTAGCGATCCCTCTGGAGTAAATGTGGGGGTTAATGAAGTTGTTCCGGAAATACCTGGCCATGCTAGGGAAAGCAGAAACCAGCATGCCAAGGGTTATTAGGACAAGCACTGGGGGGAGGGGGACTGCATGGATTAAAATAAAAGAAAGTCCTATCTTTAACAGAGAACAATAATATGGAAGAGTTAGTTCCAAGTTCTTCTGGAACAGCATGATCACAAACAATGGTTAGATGCTCTGGCTTTGGGATCTGACAGGCCTGACTTACAACCCTACACTGCCAGCTGGGGGATCTTAGTCATTTTAACTGCTCTAAGCCTCAGTTTCCATATCTGTAGAATGGGGATAATAATAGTACTCACCTCACAGAATTATTATGAGAGGTGTGTTAGTTTCCTATTGTTGCTGTAACAAATTGTCCCAAACTTAGTGGCTTCAAACAACACAAATTTATTCTCTTACTGGAGATCAGAAAATGGATCTAAAATCCAGGTGTCAGCAGGGCTGTATACCCTTTGGAGGTGCGAGTGGAGAATCCGTATCCGTGCCTTTTCCAGCTTCTAGAGCAGTGGTTCTCAACCTTCCTAATGCCGCGACCCTTTAATACAGTTCCTCATGTTGTGGTGACCCCCAATTTCATTGTTACAAATTGAACATAATTAAAGCATAGTGATTAATCACAAAGACAGTATGTAATTATATATGTGTTTTCCGATGGTCTTAAGTGACCCCTGTGAAAGGGTCGTTTGACCCCCAAAGGGGTCTCGACCCACAGGTTGAGAACCGCTGTTCTAGAGGCTGCCTGCATTCCTTGGCTTATAGAGTAACATCTGACACTCTCTCTCTAACCTTGACCCTCCTGCCTCCCCCTTCTAAGGACCCTGTGATTACATTGTCCCCACCTGTATAATCCAGGGAGATCTTCCCATTTTAATATCCTTAATCATGTCTGCCAAGTCCCTTTTGTCAGGTAAGGTAACATGTTCACAGGTTCTGGGGATTCGAAGGTGGATATCTTTGGGACGTGAGGGGCATTGTTCAGCCGACCACAAGAATCGATGTAGTGCTGAGAGCAACAAGCACTCAATAAAGGCAGCTCTTATTATTGTGGGGATGTTGAGAGGACCCAGTGAAATCAGTCTTAGGATACATAAATGCTCAGTGACATGGACACTCCTTTTCCAAAATGTGCCACCACTGAGTATTTTCATAGTTTGATAGGACAAAAAACCCCCCAAAAATCTCATTTTATTTTGAATTAATTTGCTGGCAATGAGGTTGTGATGGGCTGAATTGTGTACCCCCAAATTTCATATGTTGGGGTTCTAACACCCAGTACCTCAGATATGGACTATATTTGGAGGTGGGACCTTTACAGATGTAATTAAGTTAAAATGAGGTCATTAAGGCTGGGCCCAAATCCTTATAAGAAGAGAAAATTAGGGCTCAGACATGGCCAGAGGGAAGACCATGTGAGGACACAGAGAGAAAACAGTCTACAGGCCAAGGACAGAGCCTCAGAAAAATACCAACGCTGCCAACACCTAGATCCTGGCCTTCCAGCCTCCAGAACTTGAGAAAATAGATTCCTGTTGCTTAAGCCACCCAAACCTGCAAACCAATACAGGGGTAAACATCTGTACTTCCTCTTTGATACTTACCATGTGACAATCGTCCATCCATATCCTTCTGTCCATATAACTACTTGAGCTATTGCATCCTTATGTCCAGACTGACCAATTTCTTTTATTTATTTATTTTTCTTTGTTTTTTTTTAAAAACTTCTTTATTGATTAAGGTATTACATATGTGTCCTTATCACCCCATTACCCTACCACTCCCCCCCCCCTACTCATGCCCTCACCCCCCTGTTGTCTGTGTCCATGCATGCATACAAGTCCTTTGGTTGATCTCTTCCCCTTACTCCCACCCTCCCCTACCTTCCCTCTGAGGTTTGACAGTCTGATCGATGCTTCACACGGAAACCTCTAAACCTCTCCCTTCTCTCCAAACTTATATTTTATGTTGCAGAACAAGGAATGATCAGACAGATTCTAGAGAAACTTTTTCCTGGGTAACTTTTGAGTCTCTTGAATTTTTTAAAAAAATATATTTGTATTGATTTCAGAGAGGAAGGGAAAGGGAGGGAGAGATAGAAACATCAATGAGGAGACAGAGTCACTTATTGGCTGCCTCCTTCTGGGGATCAAGCCCAAAACCCGGGCATGTGCCCTTGACTGGAACTGAACCTGGGACCCTTCAGTCTGCAGGCCGATGCTCTATCCACGGAGCCAAACCAGCTAGGGCGAGTCTCTTGGATTTTGCCTAAATCTAAGAAGAGCTTAGGATCAGGGAATGCGGACACTTCGTACCTGAATAGCAAACTGAAGAAGCAGATGATCAGACAGGCTGCGACTGTGAAGATGTAGGCCAGCTGCATGTTGTAGGATGCCCCACCGCTCCGATGCCGGATCGTAGAATTGGTGTAAAAGCCATAGTACATCACTGTGTCAGAAAAATAACCCTGGAAGGGACAATAAGCCCTACGTCAGGTGGGTCTCTTGAGAAAACTATGAGTGACTATTGACCTCTTTTGTCTTCTAGAAGCGTGGACCAGTCCATTTCAATGTTTTGTTTGCAAGGAAAAGGAACCTCCAAGGCCACTGAGAAGCTAGACATTTTATCACTAAGCTTTTAGTTGGAGAGGACTCCCACCGGCATAGCTTTACAATAGAGGGACCCAGCTATTCCACCGGGACCCAGTGAGAAAGCGAAGCATGACTAAAGGCAGGCTGCACCTTGAAGTTCAGAGTGAAATGTCCTGATGTCTGTAATCTACTGCGAAATGCCTCCTAAAATAGTAAGACAAATATGGCAAAATGTTAACAAATTTAAATTGACATAGTGTGTATGTGGATGTTTATTATACTACTCTTTGTTTTTTGTATGTTTGAAATTTTTCATAATAAAAGATTTCATATATACAAAAACACAAAATACACATAGTAATGAGAAAAAAGTACACAATGATTCCATTTAAATGCATCTATCCCGAGAAAATTTTTTAAATCAAATTTGTCTTTAAAATAAAAAGACAAATGGAAGGACCTTATTTTGAACATTCCACAGCAAGAGTCAGCAAATGTCTTCTGTAAAGAGCTAGACAGTAAATGTCGGACCACGATGACAGCACGGCAATATCTCTGCCGACAGCCGAAAAGCAGTGCAGATGTGTAAACAAAGGAGTGTGGCCATGTTCCGAAAGAACTTTGTTTATGGACACAGAAATATGCATTTCATATCGTTTTCATGCTTCTCAAAAATGCTATTCTTCTTTGGATTTTTGTTCAAGCATTGAAAAATGGAGGAGCCAATCTTAGTTTGTAGGCTGTTCAAACACAGATGGCCGGCCAGATCTGGCTCTCGGGCTGTAGTTTGTCCATCCCTGGTCTATAGACTCTCAATGGCAGAAATTTCTCCTAGAAGGTGAGCTCGCAAGGGAGAGGTTCTGTGCCTTGATAAAGCTCTGGGTAGATGAATCCTGGTTGCTATTGCATAGAAGAACATGGGCCTATATATATACCCAAGATACCTAGTAAAGCAAAACATGTTGCAAAACAAGACTCGTAGCATCCTACCCTATTTTTATTTTTAAAAAGAATATTTATCTGTCAACCTACCTACCTACCTACCTATCTACCTACCTATGCCTGTATATCTCTATGTTGGTATAGTGAGAAAAACAGTGGTCAAAGATACCCTCTGAAGTGGGGAGTTAAACAAGGGAAGAAGGGTAAAATGGACTTCTCTTAGTTTTTTCTCCTCTGTAGCAGGAATTTTCCAAAAGGAGCATTACAGTTTATAGAAAGAAAGAGAAAAAAGAAAATCTATGAACACCAACACGAGAAACCCACCACATATTAGGTGCAGAAAGCAGATCATAGGCAGTACATATGAATAATTAATCTTTTGTGAAAAAAGAGAAAAGGAGGCATATGTACAACATACGCTGTTGCTTCTGGAGACAGAAAGTCTCCTATGTTGTGCATGTTTTTTTGGGGGGAAAAAAGAAAAACATTATTTAAACACCCACTTTCCCCACCAGTGACTCCCAGGAAAAAGTGAGAGGTCTGGCACAGTGACCAGCAAGGTGTGTCTCTGGGTTTCCCAAGGTGGTGAACTCTCAGTGGGGGAAATGGAGAACTTACCGCTCCCGTGAAAAATTCCAGTCCTGTGAATTGGAGAGCGTTGTTTCCGCCCACGGTAAACTGAGGGATTGTGATGAAGCTGAAGGTCACAATGAATGAGAAAATGTTGAACTTCAGAAGCCACCTCAGAAAGTTGAAGTAGGACAGGACGCTGGTTCCAAACTTGCCTCCGATGATCTTGAGCGTCTTCTGCCACAGGCTGATGGAATTGAGCAGCTCCGACAGGATGTTCTTGCATCTCCGGTATGCCTGGGGTTAAGATGAGGCTTGACATTCCCTCAACAAATATCTGTTGAGCAGGTCCCACAATAGCAAAAACAGCCACCGTTTCTAGAGCGTTACAATGTGTTAGGCATTTGCAAATGTCATCTCATTTAATCTGCAGACCCATCCCCTAAAGGGAATGCATTATTATTTTCCCAGATTTGCTGTTGAAGGTGACACTCACAGTGGCTACATTGCCCAAATAACCCAGACCTTTGCACACTCACCTGGTTTCCCCACACCTACACTGACCCAATTTTTATGGCCTCAGTAAAACAGCCCTGAAATTGGTTCTTCTTCCCCGTGGTCCCCGTTTATCCCCACTCTCCCACCTCCCCGTTTTCACCCTCTCGTGCTCATTTCTCTGACTGCAGCACAGGCGGACTTACCAGGGAAATGGAATTCAAACACTGAGTGCAGCAGTTGAGCTCAAAGATACGTCGGGACTGCTTACTTTTCTCTTTGTCAACCATTCTCCTGGGGGAACAGCAGAAGCAAGTGAGAGATGCAAGTGCTGTAATACGTTCATTCCCCAAATGCTTACTGAGCACCTACTACATCCCAGGTGGAGATAAAGAGACCAATTAAAAAAAATAAATCTATTACTATGACATTAAATCCCAAAACAAGTAGAGAGAAAGAGAGAGAGAGAGAGAGAGAGAGAGATTTTCTTGCCTCATGGGGCTGACATCCTAGTTGGAAGAGAAAGAGAATAAGTGATAAATCCTATATAACAAAGAGCTAATATGCAAATGGTCATCACTCCCTCACGCCTTCATGCTGTAACAGCTCAGACACTCAACAGTGGGGGGAGAGGAATGGGGACTAATATGCAAATGGTCATCACTCCCTCACGCCTTCACGCCGTAACAGTTCAGACACTCAACACTGGGGAGAGAGGAATGGGGACCAGCCAGGCACAAATGAGCTTGTGAGAGAGGAATGGGGGCCAGCCAGGCTGTGGCCTGGGAGAGGGACAAGTCGCCTGCTCCATGGTCCCGGGTGCCAGCGGCTGCGCCTGCACCTGTGGCCCGGGAGAGGGACAAGCTGCCGCCCCATAGTCCCAGGCACCAGTGCCTGCGACTGCGGCCCAGGTGAAGCCGCCCACCCACAGTCCCCTGCGGCTACGGCCAGCCTGGACGAAGCCGGCCCGGGTCCTGGGTGCCTGCGACCAGCCAGAGGGAGGAATCCTGGGTCCTGTGTGCAGGGCGAGGCAGAGGCAGTCAGGGGCAATAAGGCCAGCAGGGGAGCAGTTAGGGGTGATTAGGCCAGTAGGGGAGCAGTTAGGGCTGATCAGGCGGCAAGCAGAGGTGGTTAGGGGTGACCAGGCAGGCAGGCAGAGGGGTTAGGGGTGATCAGGCAGGCAGGCAAGCGGTTAGGAGACAGTGGTCCCGGATTATGAGAGGCAGTCGGACATCCCCTGAGGGGTCCCAGATTGGAGAGGGTGCAGGCCAGACTGAGGGCCCCCCCTCTTGTGCATGAATTTCGTGCACCAGGCCTCTAGTATAATAATAAAGTGGGTAAACTGCATGGCATGTTACAAGGTAATATGTATTATGGGGAAGAAAAAGGAAAACAGCAGGGTAAGGAGATGGGTAATGCTAGGGTGGGGACTGTGTTACAATTTGAAATAGTGTGACTTCTGAATAAAGTCTTGTAAGAGGGAAGGGTTCATCATATGGATAAAGAACTGTCCCATGCATAGGGACACTCGAAGCCCCAAGGAGACCGAGGTGGCTGGACTTTTCTATTCAAGGATCCCATCCACATTGCAGTTAGTTGTCATGTCTCTTTAGAATCCTCGAGTCTATAACAGTTTTGCAGACTTTCCTCATTTATGATGACCTTATAATTTTGAGTAGTACTGGTTGGGTATTTTGTAGAAATATACTCCCTCCCAAATTGTGGTCTTCCTGACTTTTTTCTCTGGTTAGATTAGGGTTACAGGTTTCAAGAGAGAGTGCCACAGAGGGATATGTCCTTCTGATCACATGACTCATCTCTGAAGATGTCAACCTTGATCACTTGGCCGAGATAGTGTTAGATGGATGTCATCTCTAGAAAGTTACTTTCCCTATTTCCACACACTACTCTTTGGACGCTGGCCACTAGCACACACAGCCTCCACTCTGGGCAACAGGAGATTATGTGGAATTTTCTGTAGGACGATGGCCTCTTCTGTTGCATTTGTTTATTTCTTATCTTTCTGAGATGGGGCAAAAGTAGAAGCTCGAGATTGGCATAAAAATCTGGGAAAGAAGAAAAGCTTTTGATCCATACCGAAGCTTCCTTTTCTCTTCCATGGTCCTCGGCTGATTCCGGATGGCTTTAATTCTATCTCTAGATGTCATGGGTATCAGAGATGCGATTAACTTTTGTCCTGTGGAAGAAAATAGATGGAGTTTATTTTTTTTCCTTTAACAGAGTAATGACATTTTAAAATATGGTGCTGAAGTTAGAGCATCCTATATAATAAAAGGCTAATATGCAAATTGACTGAACTGCAGAATGACTGGTCGCTATGATGCACACTGACCACCAGGGGGCAGACACTCAATACAGGAGCTGCCCCTGGTGGTCAGTGTACTCCTACAGGGGGAGCGCCGCTCAGCCAGAAGCTGGGCAGCGGTGGTGGCGGGAGCCTCTCCTGCCTCCATGGCAGTGCTAAGGATGTCCGACTGCCTAAGTCATCAGTTAGACATTCCCCGAGGGCTCACGGACTGTAAGAGGGTACAGGCCGGGCTGAGGGACTCTCCCCCCCCCCCCCCCCCCCCCCCCGCGTGAATTTCGTGCAGCAGGCCTCTAGTGTTTTTATAAGAGCACACAGAATGAAGAATGTATGGACTCAATGATCCCAAACGTCACAGATTAAAACAAGCGGACAGCAAGCATCTGTGTTGAACCTCAAAGCCAAAGAAAACGATAGTGTGCATGCAATTCCAGTTCAATGCTTTCCTTTTCCATGGCAATAACATCTTGCACCTTAATGTCCCTCACTTTAATATTCCACATCACTTCTCGTGTCCCCCTGACTCCAGGCCCCCTGGACTCCACCTTCTTGCAGTGCCTGATGGTTGTCAGACGCTCTTCCACCTGGAATGACTTCCCCACCTTTTCTCCCGATAACTCATGATCACATTTTGGGTCAGTGTAGCAGATACTGTTGGCAGCCTTCCCCAGAGTCATCTCTCCTTTTTTAATAGAATCCCGATTTTGTTTAGAAATATACCCTCTCCCTCACATGGCCCTGAGCTTCTTCAGGGTGGGACCCAACTCCAGGCACCCGGGACGGGTCCCGATGTGTCCAGGCCCATCCTGAAGGTCCTGTCCCCTTGCAGGTAAGTGATTTAGGCACAGGCACGTGACAAGATGTTGGCCAATGTTCTGTGAGGGGTGGTCTGCAGAGGAGCTTCTTGGCAAAGGTTTTCCTTCTCAAAAAAACAACGCTCAAAACACAAGGCAAAGACATCCTGCTTCTGGAAGTTGTGTCCACATATGACACCTGGAAGTGCTGTCACCATCTCGGAACAGAGAGGGAGCCAGCTGGGGGCCAGCTGGGGCACCAAATGAGGGAGTGGGATGGCTCCCTGGCCAAGCTATTGGGTCAGAACCTCTCATTTTATAATGACATTAGAGGCCCAGTCCACGAATTCGTGCACAGTGGGGTCCGGCTAGCCAGCCCCGATCAAGGCCAATCAGGCCAGGCCAGCTGTGGAAGGGGATTTGGGAGGTTGGCCAGCTCGCCCCGCCTTCTGGTCAAACTCCCAGTCGAGGGGACAATTTGCATATTATACTTTTATTATATAGGCTTCTGTAATCAAGGTGGAGTGAGAGTCCCCAAGAGAGGGCCACCAAATCACTTGGTTGAAGACGAGGAATTTGTGTCTCTTTCTCACAGAGAAAGAAAGGAGAAGGAGGGAGAAAAAAAACAGATTCAAGGAGACAGCAGCCTGACAGAAGATGCCCCAGTCTTCATTTAAGTGGCTAAGCCCACACAATGCTTTGGTGTAAATGGATTTTTTTCCCCCTCTTAGAAATCATTGAGAGAGGCTGGACTTTATGCCTCCAGTCTTATGGAATGAAACAGAAACGGCATCTAAATGACCAAACAGTGCTGACCTCCAGAGCAGAGAGGCAGGGAGTTCTCAGCTGAGAACTGGTTTCATGGTGGACTTGACAATAACAGGCATCCTCTGTTGCCGAATCCAGGGTGGGAAGGAATTGGACCAAAGCAGAACAGGGTGGTGGTTAAGGTATCAGGCTTGGGCATCAGACAGACCTGAATTTGGGTCCCAGATCTGCCAGATCACTTAACTTCCCTGAGCTGCAGTTTCCTCATCAAGCAGATGGAAATGACAAGCATGCCTGCCTTAGAGGCGTGGAGCATGGGGAGAAAACACAACTAAATTCGATGGATAACAGAAAGGGAGTGCTCAGCAGAGAGCGAGGCCCACGAAAGCAGCTTGATCAAGGTCAACTCCTTTTTAGGTGTTAGATGCTCTCAAAGTGACCCCTTCCTCAGTCCCTGGCATCCTTGGGTCATCTACCAAATCTTCAACCTACTTGTTGTCTTAAAACTAAAAATCCCTGGGCGTCACTTGCAAGCTGTCTTTGCTCATTTGCCCCAGCGACTTACTACCTTGAATGTTTTCATGGGAAGTACAAGGCGTGTCCATGTCCACAAGGTCTGGGCTGTGATGCGTCTGAGAAAACGATTCATTCAAAGGTGAAAACCGTAGCAACTGCTTGGCCTTTCTGTCATTCTGGCGGCTGTAAACCCGAGGGTCTGTCACATCGTTGTCAGATACGGACGAGACCATGCCAGAGCTCGAGTTCACCCCCGACTTTGCTGGAACACTCAGATTTGAGGATCGATGGTTTTGGACCCCGGGTGGAACAGTCTCAACATTAATGATGATTTCATTCACTTGGTCATCAGACAGCATCTCTGGCCTCCTCCAAGCCTAATTCTGCACGGGGGTGGCCTCCCCAGACCTCACGCAGCGGTCACACCCGACGTTGGTGAGAACCACCAAAAAGCGGGCTAACATCACAGAGGGATGCTCCATTCACACATTTTAAAAATGCCAGGATGACATTGCCAAAGTCAGCTTCACACAAATCACAGCCTAACTCCCCACATCTACACTGGAGGCGTCTCCTAGGAGGAGGTGTGTTTTCCTGAAGAGCTCTGTCTCGGTAGCTAGGAAAGAAACCGGAAACAGAACCCTTCATTAAAGACAATGGGGTTCTAGAACCACAAGTCAGAGGTTCTTCTAAATGCCTCATGATCAAAGGGCCAGATTTTCTTTTCAATTTGGTGCCTCTGGCCTAAAGCTCATATTTTATAATCATAATTTTATATGCCTACATAAATCTAGGTGGGTTTATAGTGAAACAATTATTATCTCCTGATCACCTTGCGTGGCCAAC